TCATTCTGCAACTTATACCTTTGTCTATAAATTAATGCACATAAAAAAACATTAATATTTTGGAAAATATAATTCAATGAAGAATTAATTTTCCTAGAGCAAAAGGATAAGACTCACAGGTGTAAGGATGTTGTAATCAGAATGGTGCAATCAATCAGGCAATGGATAAAGGCTGGGGCCAATGAGAGATGAAAAGTGTGTGGCAGATACTTTAAAGATAAAGAACGAAATGAAAGAAGCAAAAAGCAGGTGTGTTTTACTTTATACAGAATGTCTAAAACAACTCTTATATAGATTCAATTTTTTAAGTATTCATTTTGAACTCAGTAAATAAAGTAAAATTTAATCAGACTTTTGGGAAGTGAATAAACAAAGGCAAGCTGTTTCATTTTTAGGTTTACATTTTTGTACTTCTCCCTTAAATCATAAGGTAAATATAATTGGGAATATTTTTTTTTATAAAAACAAGGGACTCTTAGAACATTTCTGAATTCATAAAGTAAATACTTCAAGAATATGCACTCGAGTATCTGCAAAGAAACAAAGACTAAATGAGAACATTCTCCAAGATGATAAAATTAAATAGAAACACCCTCTAACTAGATGATTTTAAAGAATACAATGCATACCATAATTATTTCTTACTAGACAGGATTAGGAGAGAAAAAAGTTTCACAAATTCATCATTAACTCTTTAATTATGTACATAAATGTTTGAAGGTATGTTTTGTAAGCATTGGCTAACTGAAGAAACATCAGTTGGTAATGACAGGGTATCTATAGTACCGATTTTGTGATTTGAAACTATACTTGTAAATCCTATTGCTGTTATGAATGCTATCATTCTTTTGATATTGTATATGATTTTGCTTTCCTGATATCTGACTGTCTATGTTAAGACAAAACACTAGTTTAGGCTGTGGCTGCGGCAAACAAAAGAGGTAACAATATCCAATACTAACAGCATTTTAATCAAGCTATGAAATAAAGAAGAGATAAGTGAAAAAGTTATGGTGAATTCTCTCTGGAGATGCTTAACACGAAGATGAATGTCCATCTGTCTAGAATAGTTTTAGTGGAGCTCGCCTTGAGGAACGTAAATAAAAGTCTTCTAATTTGCAGTATTTCCACAGCATCAATTTCACCTTCCCAGTATGCTGCCTTTAGTTATTTAGCCCATCTACAAGATTACAGCAAGTGCTTTCACTGGAGATTGTGTGGAACCCAGAGTTTGCTCTGCATAAGGCCTAGGTGTGGCAAATCTGACGGGTCAGGATGGGCTTTCAGACAGTGTTCCACAAGGCAGGATCCCCGCGCAGCAGCCAAGACACGGATGCCTTCTGCTCTTCCTTCTCTTTCTCTTTTAGTCTCTGAATACTGTACAGTAGTCACCAGTACCCAAAGCAGGGCGATCAACTTGGAAATATCTGCAACACAGCCATGATAAATACAACTAAGCACTGTTCATCTCTGGACCTGAACACTAATATTATCATCAGTGGCTATGCATTACTTGATGGATATAGCTACTAGTTTAATAATAATGTGAATTAAATTTGTTTTATCATTTTTAACAGTTGTTTCTTACATCTGAATGATAAAATTAAACTTCATGCGCAGTCCCATGAAATGAGACCTATTTTTTTAAAATTCTATTTATTTATACTTATTTTATCTTTTTAAATTTTCTTTTTAGTTTTTGAGACAGGGTCTCCCTGTAGCCCCTTGCTGTCCTGGAACTCACTATGTAGACCAGGCTGGCCTCGAACTCACGAAGATCCGCCTGCCTCTGCCTCCCAAGTGCTGGGATTAAAGGCGTGTGCCATGACGCCCAGCCTGAAATGAGACCTATTTTTTAAAATTTTTGTATTGATTTTTTGTGTATTTCGTACACAACAGCTCAAACAATCTTAATCATCTTTATACCCGCGTCCCCACCGGCACCCTCCCATACACCCTCCCACTGAAGCCCATATACTCGGAGACCTATTTTTAATGATGCTGCTTTAGATATTCCTAATTCTAAAAAGATGTTTTTCTAATTGTAAAATTGTGCAATATTTTCATTTTATAAATTCAATTACTTAAAACTTGTGCATTGTGACCCTTCAGTTTTGCCCTTTTCCTCTTACATCATGTCATGAAAAATGAGCGTGGGAGGATTGTGTTTATTTTCCTATTTCAGTGTACTCATTCAGCCTAAGGCTCTCTCTGAAGCCACATTTCCTCCACAGAAACATAAATGCTAAAGGTGAATCTGTGTGGATGCCATGTTCCTCAGCTTCTCACCGTGTGGATCTTGTCACTTTGCTTCTTAAAAACAATCACATTCAGATTCTTAGACACACACACACACACACACACACACACACACACACCACACAAACACACCACTTTGCTTTTGATAATCCAATCACATAAAAATGGTTAAATAAGGTTGTCACTGACCTACTTAATAAATTCTTCATTCACTCTTATTTGCTATTACTAATACACAATTTATGAAAACTTTATTTATTTATTTATTTTTACATTAATTCAGGAACTCTTTTCCCGGCATTCTATGGAACTTCTAATTATACTCTAATATTTTCTTTCCTTAATCCCTATAGTGTTTAATGTTTTATTGTAAATGATTGTTTTCTTCTATATTAATCTGGTATTTTCTAGTATATTTTTTTCCATTTTCAGCTCCATGTCTAACTGATTCCTAATAGAATAACCATGTTCACGTTTTACTAGTCTAGTAATTATATTCTAACATTGCAATTTATCATACATGCTACTATCCTGTTTCCTTAGTATTTTTCATAGATGGTTTTTAGCAGACACTAGTTGAATATCTGCAGTGTGGAATGCAATACTATAGTTTCATAGCATTTTACTGTCTTAAGAGCTCTTACTCATTAAGTAAATACCTAATAACCACAGCAAGAAAATTCAAGCAACCACTATATTTATTTTATAAAACGGAATCCTAAGGTGTAGAAATGTGGAATGATTGCTTGTTTCTGAAAATCCAAAATACAGCAAAGCTTTCTTGAACTGTATTCCTAAACTCATCTCCTGGCATATACAATAGTCTTGTCTTAAGAGCTCTTACTCATTAAGTAAATACCTAATAACCACAGCAAGAAAATTCAAGCAACCACTATATTTATTTTATAAAACGGAATCCTAAGGTGTAGAAATGTGGAATGATTGCTTGTTTCTGAAAATCCAAAATACAGCAAAGCTTTCTTGAACTGTATTCCTAAACTCATCTCCTGGCATATACAATAGTCTTTAAATTTGAGAAAAATTCATGAATGTGAGGAGAGGGAAAAAAAGGTATTAAAATGTCCATTTTTTAATGGCAACTGAGCTTCTATCTCACTTTCTATTTAATCTCTAAACTTGTTTTCTAGGTTAATTGAAGAAGACGTGAAAAAACTCCCCTCATGATAGGTCAGCACCCTAAATGTACCCTCATATACACAAGAACATGTCCTCACAGAATTGGATGCTGTGAATATCTTCAGAATAGTAAGACATTTGTTTTGAGAACTTAGAGCTAATATTTTCTGTAAAGTAACAAATGATATTCCTCAAGGGTGGTCAACTGTAGCCAATGCAACCTGAGTAGGTTCAAGACAGGAATCGAGTCATAGTGTAACCTCACATAATACACTGACTGAGACAGGCTGGATAACACTATGTCAGTAAATCTAACTTAAAAGTTCTCAAAGTCCTTGCTAGTAAAGTTTTTTTTTTTTTTTTTTTTAAAAAGAAAGAAATCCTTTTCGTTTGAGTGAGTGCACAAAAAAAAAAGAAAGAAAAGAAAAGAAAAAGCCCCCAAACAAAACAAAACAAAAACAAAAAACCAGCCAGAGTTCTAAACATTTATACCTGGAAGCCTGTATTTTTCTGCCTTTATTTTTACATTTGGAAAGCACAAGTTTAGGAGAAAATAAAAACATTTGTATTGAGAATATATAGTGGCCGAAATCTGTGGCTTTATAAACACTTGTCCTCTTTGACAAGGGAAAACATCTGTTTCACTTTCTCTACTAGAGAAAAATACTGCTGATCCTACCATGGAGAATTCTGAATATCAGTTAATTCTTGAAAAAGTGCCTGTTCTGTTTATTCCTAGCTAAGAAATATTGGATTGCGAGAGTTAATCTCAGCATACAGGGGTTCTTTAACCCTAAATTCCAAGGTACTGCAACAGCCAAGGAAAATATTTTAAGAACTATCATTTAAAGTCAACTGAAACTCATAATTTTAGGAGACTAATATGGTACTTTGAAATGTATAAAGATATATATTGACAATATTAGTTTTGTCACTGAGTACTTAAATGTGACAGGTGGCACAAGAGCTATCGGCACTTACACACCTCTCCTCCAGAAAGCAGATTAAAGATTTATCAAGGAAAATAAATGTACATTTCTTTTTTATTCTTTCTTCATTCTTAAGAGAGGTTATGCATATATTCCTTAAAAATATGAGAGAAAAAGCTATGAGGAAAAAAATCCACATAAAGGAGAATATAGCTTTCTTGTTTTCACACTTTTAGTATTTAATGAAAATGGGAATCTAAAAGCTCCAGAGAAAGCTGCAGTTCTAAGTTCACTTTATCTCTAACTAGAAAATATATCTACTCATTCAAAACCCTAGTTCTTACACTCCTCTTCCAGCTTACCCTGACTGAACTGCAAAGCAAGTAAGAAGTGCCTGGCGGAAAAGGGAAAATCACAAAGAGTTTTTCACATTTCATTAGGTTTTAAAGTCCTAACCATGGTTTTGAAGAAAGAATCTGATAACTCCTGAATTGACATACATCTTCTACCTAAGAATCTTTTCAAGCAGCAAAAATTTATGTTATTGTTAGATCTTTAAAAAAAAAGGTTACACAAATAGTCCATCATTTTCCTGATAATTTTTAAATCTAAGCTTGATGTAGAAAACTGATAATTTAACAAACATTATAAATTAAAATGTATGTAAATACTTACAAGTTTTTAATGTCAACTGCCCCACGAAAAGCCTTCCTTGGAATGGCTTGAATTTGATTTTCACTGAGATCACTAAAAAAAGAGAAAGAGAAAATGATCAAGTTATAAAATCTTGTCCCAGGTAAATGTAAAGAAATTAATAATGCAATTTCTTATAAAATAATGTATAATTCTAATATAAATCAAAGGCTGGAATAAATATCATTAAATCTATGTTCAATTATAAAGTATGATGCTTTTAATTTAACAGTTGATCCAACTGCATAAAGTGTAAAGTAAAATATTTCATCAAAACAAATAGTTCTTCAGAACTCAGTTTCAGGGGAATTTGAAGTTTTAGAATTTGATATTTGTCCAAAATCACTATTAAAACTTATCTTCTTAGAAAAGGCTGAATAGAAAGTGATAAAAGCTGGACCATACAATGCACTTCCCACAGCAATTTAAGAAACCTTCCAAATGGAATATGACAGCACCAGTCCAACAATAAAATTAAGTTTCTGCATGAAATATTAATAGTAGGCTGATTTAAAGCCTTCCTTAAATAATTCCATTATAACCATAAACATAGAGTGTCTATATTTACATCTTAATTTAATAGAGAAATGCATTTTAATCAAGGAGTAAAGCACTCTGAGTTGAAGAGTTTGCACACACACACAAAAATCACCCATACGGAAATGGATCATTGCTTTTCCTTCAGTGTCTACAGAGGCAATTCTATGAGCTCAGATAGTATTATTAGCCTTAACAAGCAGGATACAAATATTCATGCAAAGGATGCTATTGAAAACGGAAAAGTTTCCTCTTGGTTTAATTTACATGGGAATATACCAGGAAGCTGAACTAGCAAACAAACTGCTAAAGAAACCATGAGGGTAATAACATTTTGTTAAAATTCCAAGATCAATGATTCACTCAAGGAAAGATGGAGTTACTGACCATGGTTGCAGAGCAGAAGAAAAACTGAACCATTTTCCAGTGCAGGGAAGCACACTGAACAGGTTCATTCACACCATCTCCCTCAAAGCTGTTATGAGCAGAGCTTGTAATTCACATACTTGTAGCCAACAGAGAGAAGAGGAGATCACTGGCAGATACAGAGATTTAGCGCCTGGTCTTGACCTCATTAGTGCTAAGACGCTCTTGCTCCTCACAAGCAAGATTTGCATCTATACAGCAATATGCTTAATGTTCAAATAAAAACGTTTGCTAAGCAATTTGTAAAGAAATAAATGTGACCTACTTAATGACAGTTATTTAGCCCTCCTCAAAAAAGGGTAAAAAAGACCAACAAAAACTGTATTTTACTTCTAGGAGTAAATTCACCCATTTGTGCTTATGCAGGAGTGAAGACGGACGTCCATTTCCTAAGTGATACCGTCCGTTATTGCTTTCAATAATTTCAGTACATCCTTAGGAGTCATAAAGCTTCATTTCCTTAGAACTTTCTATTTTTCCTGCTTGTCATTGATTCAGACTGATTTCCTTTTTAAATTACGTTGAGTTAAGAGTATTTAACAATACGTATTTTAAAAGCTTTAATGGGGAAACTGTTCAGAGGAGGCTACAGAGGTGAGACAGCAGAGAAAGAAACAACAGAGAGCAGCAAAGACCGAGAGGAGGAAAAGTCGGAATTCAAGCAAACACGAACTCACTGTGTTCCCTGAAAAATCACTGATTGTTTTACACTGTCACTTTCTCTAAATATTTCTTTTTCCACTTCTCAGACAAAGAATGCTTCCTTTACAGGGCATATATGTGAAAAGAAAATTAGATGACTATTCTCTTAGAGCCTCTAGCTTTCTTTCCTCCATAGCTGGGGCAACTTCCTTCCCTGGTATCCTAGCTCTTCTATTTCCAGGCACTGGAGTCAAACTCCCAGTATCAGTGGTTGGGGGGGTGATGATTTTAGGTAGTTAACACTAAATTTTATCTGAGGAACTATGGTAGATTCCTAGTGCATAGAGGAGCTTCCTTTTACTAATAGTTACTAATGTTCCTATGAGTGTGTAAGAGTCTAGGAGGCCCAAAGCTCTTTATTCCTCTAAGATTGATGATTTTTGCGTGGCTGTCTCCCTGAGCAGAAGGATCCTGAGAATGGTATGGAGTCTCATCCCAGACTACTCTACCAGGCAGTGTTAGTTGGTCTCTTCCAAGGAGGAATCATGGCCCCATGTTCACCTGAGGTTAAAAGAAGCTGACATATGCAATAGTTGATGCTTCAGGAAAAAGGTATTATCCTTTGTTTCATTTACCATGACCATCTTAGAAAATAGATACTGTTATTTTAGTTCTGCATGAAAGGGAACCAAGCTTTGAAAATAATAATTATCAATGTTGTATAATAAAACTATTTACTAAACATATAGGAAATGCAGTTAAATGTTGACCCCAAATTGGGAACTTCTAAAGATGATACTACGGATTACTTAGCCTCAATATGATCTTCCTCTGTGTATAAACTTGGAGTTTCCTTAACTCATACTATGCTTTGACTTATGCCATTTGAAAATGATGGATTAGATTATATATTAGCAATAATTCATATTTGCTACATATTTTCAAGTATTTCAGTCATTCCAATTCACATTTACTCATTTTATATCTACCATATGTGAACCTTCAGTCAGTGTGTCAGGGCTTACTAACAGAGCTAGCCACAGCTGTGTTTAGGAATTTTTAAATCCAGTAAAGAAGACGAGGTAAATAAGAAATAAAAGCAAATGAAAAGCCAGGTGGGTGTGGAGACACACACCGTTAACCCTAGCACTCAGAGGCAGAGGCAAGCAGATCTCACAGAGATGGAGGCCAGCCTGGTCTACATAGTGAGTTCCAGGCCAGCTGAGACTATAAGGAGACTCTGTCCCAAGATGAAAGTACCATAGAGGTGTTGGTTGCATACATACTACCATTGCTCCACTTGGAGCCCAGCTATTTGACCCCATTGCCCTGTTCTGACTCTTGGAGACCATTGCAGGTACCAGGAGGCATCGTTGAGAGCATTCTGTTGTTCTATGAGCCGTGCAAGATGAGGCAGAACTGCTGAGTTAGAGGGATGGAGCTGCCAACGGGAAGCCTGGAATTGTATTGCTAGGCAATAGAGAGTAAAAATGTTTCAGAGCAAAGAAATGACTGGGTTGGAGTTGATTTTTAGGAAGATTAATCTGGAAATTGAGTTTCAGAGCAGGCAGGAATGATGGGCAGAGACATAGTGCCAGGCAGTGTCTCCAAGAGTTGGCCGGTGCCCAGGGAATGAGGTATTTTTTTAAAGAGAACATTAAGTAATAAAGTCTGCAGTTGGTTCCAAATGCAGGCTTTGATGGAAGTTAAGGTGACTCTCATCTCAGGCAGAATTTGGACTCATTTGAGATTTCGGAGCAACACGGTGACCAAATGGAAAAAATGAAGAGACAAGTGCACTGCTTGCATGTGTCAATGCCAACCACACGCACAGTATTGGAGAGTTGAGGCTAGATGATCAAGTCAGTTTAGAGGTTATTGAAAATGCTCAGTAATAATATGACATTTCCTGTAGAATTTAAAAAAAATATTGACACTCTTGAAAGATTGGTGTATTCGTTTTCTGAAAATGGCAAGCATGCTAAAGATCTGGGAAGACTTGCATTCAGGAGCCAGTCCCCATAGTAAGGAGAATCAGGGCAAAGGAAAGCAGGTCTAATAGGAAAAACTTTACATGCTTTACATTTGCATTGTTACAAAGGCCTCCAAGAACCACACCGAAGAAGGGCCTATATGACCAATCATGAAACCCTGGGGTTCTCATCTTAGACACCATCATTCTAAATGCCAGACCTTTCCCCAAACATCTTCAGTGTCTCCCAGCAGAACCCTCTCCTCCCTCTCCACTGTCCTTACCACTGTTAGAACATCTGTAGACGGCCAGCTATCCTCATTTCCACAGAGGACTCACTCCTAACTGGTCCTCTTGCTTTGACTTATGATCCCTTATAAATCATACCTCCAGCAGTACAAACATTAGTCCCCCAAAATGAAACAGTATCAAACCACTTCCTCTTAAACTCTACTGGATCTCATTTTAGGAAACACAGTCTTTAGAGAGATTCAGACTTTGAGTATGTTCTAGAGCATACTATGAACCCATCAGCAAATCTTCACTTACACTTTAGAGTACTTCCAGAATTTGTTCTACCCACCCTTCTGCTGCCCTAGCTACCTCTGGTGTGGGCTTTAACAGCATGCAAAAAACAATCGCTTGCTGCTGTCCCATAATTGTTGCTTTTCAGATTAAAAAAAAAAAATCCAAGTAAGTGCCTTGTTTCAATACAAAAGGAAGCCAAAAGCATTACAAAGATGTACAAGCCCTCAAAAGAAACTGTTTGACACACATTTTACTTCTTTGTTGAGCCTTCCATTGCCTACTCTGTTTAGACATATTGTCCTCTTTGGGGCTTCTTGGAAATTTCAGTCACTCAGTTAGGAGAGCTTTCCTGCTGTTCAGTCCTATTTCTGTCTATAACATATGAATCCTGATACATTAATTAACAATCTAGGCATTCATCGGGTTCTTCCTCTACATTAGCATGTAGTACTTAACAACCAAAGGCTTAATGATCATAGTAGTAATGATATGCCAACAATTAACTATTTTTCTTTCAGTTTTTGATGTATCTTCATTCCAGTGCTTCTTACTCCTAACAGAATTGCCACAGAAGGTTTTCTATATGGTGACAACATTTATAAGGTTTTATGGATATCCAAGATGAAAATCTATGTACCTTGGGATGGATTAAATAATCAATAGCCAATAATAAGAGTTGTATTGAAAATTAATTGGAATAAGAAAAGCTTGTGTTTGTATACTAGATATTTAAATTGATGAATAAGGAATTTTCTGTTCATCTTAACAGCAGTAAAATCCTAGGGTTTTACTTAACAAAATTTTTACTTTATAGATTTTGTGCAAAGCCAATCAGTGTCCATCATCTAACTGCATCAGAAAAGCAAGCTCCGTTGTGGTTTCTGCGTCTTTGCATTTTCCAAGTCCATGTGTGGTCTTTGCTCTGACTTTATAAAAGGTCAATGTTAAC